GTCAATAATAACCAGGCATGTAAAACATTAATATTGCTACTGATCACATGGGAGAGAAATCTCTCCTTTAATAGTTGATCTAGTCTACCAGCTAACCAAACTACTGTCTGACCCCATCAGGCAATTTTGAAGCCACCGTTGGGAGTCCAGATGGTAAATGACATTTTCCTTCCCACTGAGTTCATTATGATGGTTTTCTAACAGTAGAGTACCTGGAAAGATGCTACTGTCGTTAACCCAGGGTAATCCCGGATAGCAGCATTTAGCTTATTCAATTTAGATAGCAAGCTTCTCTATTCCTGGTAATGATAGAACAAAGATACTAAGCATGAAAACCAGGTTTGAGACACGGTTAGGTGATTAGACCATGGAGTGAGCAGGAAAAAACCCCAAATTTTTGATTGCTTATCTCAATAGTCAGACATAAAAGATAACCTGTATGTCATCCAGCTATGATGCTTTGGAAATAATTTAGAAAATAGGAGTTCATTAAAAGTTGCAAAAGATGGTAGAGGCAACTAGTGACTGGTAAGAATAACAGAGCAAGCAATGACATCTAAGTGGAAAAGGAAAAATGAAATTGTCTGAAAATCCAGGTTAATGTGCTACCTTGCAGAGAACAGGCTGTCTGCTAGACGATGCCCTTCTTAATAACCTCATTCATTTCAGGACCGACCATATCTGGCAGCAGGAAGCAGTCAAGGATGGACAAAGCAAAGAGGACACAAATTCCGAAAGTCACAGCTCTATGGACTAGAACTGTGTTGTCCAATAAAGTAGCCACTAGCCACATGTGGCTATATTTAAATTTAACTGAAAGTAATTAAAATTTTAAAAATCAGTTTGCCAGGTATAATAGCCATATTGCAAGTGCTCCTAGCCACGTGGGGCTAGTGGTTATCATACTGGACAAGTGCAGACGCAGAATATTTCCATCACTGTCCTGATGTACAAAGCTAGACTTGAAAGTGAGCATTCCTATTGCTCCTATAGACCTGATGAGAAATTCAGAATCAAAGTCAATAGTCTTCACCATCAAGAATATTAGAGGGGCTTCCCTGGTGGCGCAGTGTTTGAGAGTCCGCCTGCCTATGTGGGGGACACAGGTTCTTGACCCGGTCCGGGAAGATCCCACGTGCCGCGTCTGGGCCCCGTGAGCCATGGCCGCTGAGCCTGAGTGTCCGGAGCCTGTGCTCCGCAAAGGGAGAGGCCACAACAGTGAGAGGCCCGCATACCACAAAAAAAAAAAAAAAAAAGAAAAGAATATTAGAGATACCCAAGGTGCTTTATCTGCTTATTTTATTGAATGTGTCCATAAATTAGAGACATTTGGGGATATACAGAAAGTCTGGATATCCTTATCAGCACAGGGCTTTTTTCCCCTACTCTTCCGCCTCCGCCCCCCTGCCCTTGGTGTGGGGAAAGGTAGAAAAAGCAAAATGGTAGGGGATCAGAAAACTCCTTGATTTAAGTCTTTTATCCAAGGAGTTGCATAAACTGTCAAAACCAAACAGATTTTTAGAAGCACCGACTCCCCCCAGCCCTCTTTCCTTAAAAAAAAAAAAAAAAAAAAAAAAAAGCTAGAGGCAACTGAAAAGAACCTTTCAGAGATAGAAGAGGAATTCAAGAGAATTACTAAGGACAAAATGGATGGCTATCCTAAATTACTGTTCCAGGACACCCAAGGAAAAAGTGCCTCAAATCAAGAACAATATTTCCAAAACTACACAGTGGCCAGGATTCAACAAATCCACATTAATTTTAAAAGTTACCAAGTCCTAGGAGGCCAAATGATTTGCTACTAACAATTTAAAGTATTGAGTTCTCATCAAGAGAACACCCTGGTTCAACATCTAATTCATGGGCAAATAAAAGAATCGCCTAAGTCACCTTCCAGTTACAGCATCAACAGATGCCTGAGGTGGGTTGGTCCTCAGACAGAAGCAATGTCTGACAGTAAAATAAAATCAACTACAGTAATAAGACTCTACTTATTAGAACTTCCCTGTATACAGTCTTTTAAAAATGAAGTAAAAATATACTTTGGGATTTAAACTAGAGAGTTTCAATTATATTTAATAAAAGCAAACAGATACACTACAGAACCAGGAGAGAGAGAGAGACAGTCATCTTCAGACACTGCATTCTATGTAAACACTCATTCTATCATTGCTCAAATATTTGCTTGCTACTTTGCCATGCTACTGCTCTGTGCCACACTGAGGAAAATGGGATCTCTCAGTGATAGAACAATTTGAATGTGAGCTAAAATGTAATCAGCACGTCGGCAGCAACAAAACTGATAACCTATCAGCTTAAGAACAGCTCATATATAGTTTGGGAAGGGGGTTGCAAGAATCCGGATACTGGAAAACTTAAAATGTAAGCCTTAAAGCCCTTCTTCAAAAATGCATGACGTTGCTGATCATTGCAGCCCTGGCAGGGTGGCCATGAGACAGCGCTAAAGATGATGCAGTACGTGGGGACCAGAGAAGCCGGCGAGCTGCTGCTGGATTTCACCCTCATGAAAGGACAGCACATGAAACGGTCCTCTCCTTCCTGTAGCCAGCCCATCTCCACCTCTATACAGATGTAGCAGAGTTGCCATCAGAAGTTATAAAACCTCACGGTCCCCTTCCTGCTCCCCAGCTTTTCCCCCCACAGTCGTGCTCAGTGTTTGTTTTCCTCCTCTCTCAGCACTTCAAAATAGAAAAGGGGGTAATATCTTGACCCACTGCCCATGGAAAGGCTGCACTCTTAGGTCACTCTATCCAACTCATCCCTCTTGAGGAACTCACCTCATTAAACAGAAATCGCCTGATGCACCTATGGAAGGTGAGGAGAGGTTCATTTAACCCTTGATACCTCATATTCCCTCCTCCTGATGAGGACAGCCATTGGCAACTGTTTAAGTGAAGATTAAAGCTCTCTAGGCCAAGAAAGCAGCCTGGGTCAAAAAGGCAGCTGATCTGAAAGCTACCAAATCTGCAAAATCTGTTCCCCGTTTCATGCATACACAGCCCTACAGAGTGTATAAATACCACCAGCAAACGGTGCTAGGAGATCACCAGCACTCCACGCAGTGTGTACCCCGAGCATAGTTGAGAAAATGTGTTACAGAGAGTGTGGGAAACGGGGGCTGTCTCCGGCTCTGACCAAAGGGTAGGGCTAATGCATACCTTTTGGTCTTCTGGAATTCCCATTCTTTTGCTGCTCATCTTCCTCATTAATGGTGAATAAACCAAGGGGGACTGGCCTTGCATGGGTCTTCTTCAGTCTCTCTTGTCGGAAAGCTGTAGCTGATCCAGGCATACTGCTGCTACTTGTTTTTTAATTATTAGTACATCAAAACTATATGCTTATATAATTGCAGCTCCCAGGAAGCTGCTAGTTTCTAAGCTGCCGGTTCATTTGAGCACTTGTAATAGATCCCCTATGGGTAAACAGTGTGCAAACAGCTGACAGATACTACCAGCCTCTTGGCAACTGAGGCCCCACAGTTCCCCCTCACCTAGCAGCACCCCGCCTCCTCTGCAAGCCCCCTCCCACTTACCCCTCACAGGCACATGTGCTGGCTCAAGCTCGCTCACACACACACACACACACACACACACACACACACACACTCTGTCTCTCTGTCTCTCTCCTTCCAGAAAGGCACGCAGGTCGGATGCTTCCCCCCACTGCCTAACCTGCTCAATCAGATCCCAGCTTCTCCCTCCTGCTGCGGCACCTTTTCCCAATCTTCTTTTCCTGCTACGGCACAGTAAAATATTCAGCACACACAGCACAGAAGGGAAAATAGGAGATGCTGCCGTTAACAGTTGCCCTGACAACCCTGACTTATCCTAATCAAGGAGGGCTGGGAGCGGCTCCATCTCCCCGGTGGAGCCGCCAGCCTGCCGGGATGCTGGTCCTGGGAACTTGCCAGCAGAGGGTTACAGCGTGAGGCGAGCAGCCCAGCCGCTGGGCAGCTCCCTCTTCCAGTCGGCGGCCGGAGTAGCAGGAGGGGAGGAAAATGCAGTTTTGCTTGCACAGGCAGCAGTGGACCCCAGCTGGGAGAAAGGGGCTCAAGGCAAGACGGCGTTTTCTTCTTTTGGGGGGGCCAGGTTTTCCATCGTGATAATGATTGCGAGCCCCTGGATAAATGAAGGCATGGCTGGTACCCCACAGCTCGCTTCACACTCAGTAACATATCCCAGTTTCCCTGACATTCTTAAAACCCCAGAGTCTGTATAAACGCAGGCTTGGTGGCAACTGTCCTGAGGACCAGTGCGGCCCTGTACCCAAGACCCTCCAGGGAAGAGAACTGTGCCTGTTCTCACAGAGACCACAATCTGGAATACCCCTTCTGCAAGTCTAGCCGAAAGGACAGAAATGAGACACTACGATCCTCCAATGGGAAAAAAGCTGCCTTGATTATATCCAGCAAACTCCCCCCAGTGCCCACTGCTCTGGGTGAGTCCCTAACAGCAATGCTGAGCAAGTCTCAACACTTGACCCAATTTTAGTTCTTTTCTGGACTGATTTCTCCAAAGCACACCATCAAGTGATTATTGTTTTCTCCTGAAATAAGCTTTCTCACTTTATAAGACTCTCCATTTCTAGGCTGCCTAAAATTTATACTGTGTGCAAAAAACCCTAAATATACAATAAATGACACTAAAAAGTCAACCTCCAAATTAAGAAAATAATCTTTGTTCTTTTTGTTTCTGCCTTTTAATCAAATTCAAGTCAGCTTAGAAAGTCCAAAGCAATCCTCTTGCTCCCAGCCCACTCTTATTTTTTTCTCAATCCTTAAACTTATCCAAGAGGGGACGCAGGGACTTTGAGGCGAGGTAAATATCCTCTCTAAATCCTTTGCATGGAAGAGCAACTTCAGACAATTCACTATCCTCTCGGTACCTCAGTTTTCTCTGTAAAATTGCGGTGATGACATTTCTCTCATAGGATTAGGGGCAAGGATTGAATGATGGTGGCGCTATCGCAGTGAGAAGTGCTTAATAAATACCAGCTGCTTTAATTACATCTTAGAATACATTGTTGTAACTAGTTCATTTTTGCTTCATAATTATTTAAGGTGTTTCCAGTTCAACTGTCAACTCCCATCAAGGGACACTTCTGCTTTTTATCTACTTATACTGCCCAGTCTCGGACTGGAAAGGTACTAAACGGTTAGCAAATCCCTGCTGGAAAAAAATAGATAAATCTTCAGAAATCTTTCCCTGCAAAGGCTGGGAGATTTAATTAAGTCAACATGTTTAGATTTGTGGCTTAGAGAAACACAGGAAATTTCATATATGGAGTTTATTTAAAATCATGTTAACCTGTGATGTAGGCATTTGGAATAAAAGACTGGGAAACGAGCTGAATGGGTCTGAGAAGGCATCGGAATCAGCATCATTTTACACACGAAGAGGCTGAGGCCCACGAAGTGAAGTTTCTTGCCCAAGTCAAATGTTAGTTGGCAGTAAGTCTATGATGAAAATTTAGATTCTCTTCTTCCTACTCCAGTTCTTCTCCTTCTGACAAATACTTGGCCTACAAGGTTTAGAATCCTAGACCCCTCTTCAACTTCTACAGAGATGGCAAGATGTGGAGAGGAAAGGAAAGGGAGGATCCATGCCTTGAAATAAACAGTGGATACAAACTGGTTAATGTATTTCCATAACCTTCTGTAACTGGTAAACTTTTTTCTGAATTAAATAATTTTTTATTTCCTATTTATTTTTCTTTAATCAGATGATCAATAAACACAGGCCAATTATCACACATAAACATATTTATGAAATACTTTCAAATCTACTTTAGTTTCTTTTATTTCTAGAGAATCAGGCTAGCACTTACAAAAGCAACATACACACAAAGTATAGTTGAAACTACCTTTTGGTAGAGAAAATGAAAATCAGTGTCTTGGGCAAATAACAGATTTCATTCAGAAATATTCCTCATCCAAGTAAAGCTAACAGCTTCTGATCATCTCCATTGAGTTTAATAAAAGTATTACTGAAAGAAATCAAGAAAAAGGACCTTTTTCTCCACCTTCCAAATAAAAAAATGAAAATGATAATATTTATACATTGTCCTAGGATGACAACAAAAATCCTTCCCAAGAGAGGTTTTTGAAAGGCAAAGTGGGCGCTCAAATTCAAATGACCTCTGCAGAAGATGTCCATTCCATTACTTTCAAGGATGGCCTCAGTCGTTTTATGGAGAAATGCAACAGCAAAGCAAATACTACTTAGCGTTTAAGTTGTCCAGACAAGATTACAAATTTCGGGAAGGAGTGCTCCTTGAGGTCTGTGGCTGCACTCAAGGCACCCAGCAGAATGAAGGTCCCGGGGAAGAGAGATCACAGGACAGCCCAGCTCTACCACCCAGTCCAGGCAATCAATGGTTTTCCGCTTCTGTTAACTTCAGTGGAATACCCCTCAGTGACACAGACCGAATTTTTCATGCTCTAGCCTGAGGGTCTCCTGGAGAATTTTGATTTGTCTCAAAATCTGAAAACCACCAAAATGGCTGTTTTGCTTTGTTTTTAAAAGAATACGAGTTATACTTAAAATCACTTATTGGGGGAAACGAAAGGCTACCAAAGGAGGTCAGAGGTTGCCACCATCATGTAACCCATAAGGCAAGGAAGCCTCAAGAACAGGAATATAATAGCCCATCATCTGGGAACATGTTCAACTTTATGTCTGACGCTGTGCTAGGTGCGTTAGATATGTTATCTTTGTTAGTTACAATAACCCCAAGAGAGAGGAGTCACCGCCTGACAGATCAGGAAACTGAGGCTTGAGAGGTTCAAGTTAACACAGCTAGTTAAATCACTGGGTCAGGATTAAACCTAGGCCCATCTGCTCTAACGCCAAGGTGCTTTCATCCTGCTGCCCTGTCAATCCTGACTCCAGCACCAACTAACTGCATCTCAGTCACAGCTGGGACTAGTCACAGGGAAGCAAACAGCTCAAGATCAAATAATCATAATAAAGGATTCTTTTCCTACCCATGAAGTACACATTTCTTACCTCATTTAAGACATATGAAAACATTTGAGATTAGTTTCTTAAATGCTCAAACCCAGCCTTTAACAGATACAGGGGTTAAGTTATATGATTCCAGGACTGCTGTGGCTTGATCCCTGTAGGGGCAGAGCTTGGGGCTATAGTCTTCTCCTTTTTACACTCTGACCCCAAATAAAAGCAAATGTGGAAAGGGGGATAGTGAGACCTTAAATTTAAATATCCCCAGAAGTAAAACGAATACCACTGTGAATTTCTTTACTGTTCCTCAGCACGAATAAGTGTTTTCAGTGTGGCACAATTGCCGTTGCATGCTGCCTGCAGATATAGGAGCTTAATTCAGTTCTCATGGGAACTGGGGCAGGTAGACTTCCGAGAGTCAACCAGGTTTTGCGACTGTTTTGTTTAAATTGTTAAAATAGCAAGTGATATAGTAACGGAGACCTTGTATAAACGAGAGAAATGAGACACTGCCTGGTGTAAAAGGGTAGATTTTTACAACTAGCCTGGCTTTGTACAGAAAAAAAAAGTTTCAGAACAATCACAAAATGTACTCACAATCATAGGTGGAAAGTGGTACCACTCATCACTGCTATGAACCAAACAGGTCAACAGGCCCTTGAGCAGCTGCTGTTCCCACCCCACCCACAGCCCCACTCCCTTAGTACACAATGAATTTATGTCTCTCTGTCCTTCTACCCTGGCTGCCTGGCACCAACCCATGCACATGAAACCGAGTTAAACTTGCTGATCTAGCAGGGAAGTCAGCTCATGACTTGGGCCTTGCTGTCACGATGTTAAATAAAGGACTAAATACATGTAGGCACACGCATCCGAACATACACCTTCAGGCTTCTGTTCACATTTATGCTTCCTAAGCTTTTATTTTGTGACCATAAAACTGGAAAATAGCATAGCCCCTGAGTGCATTTAAGAATATCCTCTTGCAAAGAGAAATCTGTTTAACCAGTGAGAACATATACCAAGATTTTTCTTTCTACAAGCCTAGTGAGCTTTACAGAAACATTACTGAAATGGTAAAGAGGCTGATTTGTACTAATCAAGTGCTGTAGTTGAAAACAAAAATTATTACTGCTGGATTGAAGGGTCAGTCACTAGTAAATTACAGTTCTATATCTGTATTAGTTAGTTACTTTTCAATGGGGCCCAGGAGTACCAAAATGCTTTCCCACATTTCTATATTAGAGGAGATGATTAATTCTTCAAAACTACTGGACTTCAGTCATCTTTTAAATTCTCTATGCATCTCCCCCAAAGTAAGCTGCAATTTACTTCTAGCAGGAGTTTTAGAAATCCACGTGTTAACGTAATATTTATAAAAACCTCAGCATCGTTTGAAAACGACAAAGCCAGCATAGGTTGACACGAACTCAAACAACCCCTAGGGAACAAAGGGTCCCAGCAGGTTCTTTGCCATCCCCATCCTTGACGTTAAAGGGCTCCCTTACAGTTTCCTAGGATGACGCCACTTCCTGATGGCCTCTGTGGCAATAAAGGCACAATATTCTGCCATCCTGCAGCATTATGCAGAGCTTCCGACAGGCTGCTGGACAAAGAAATACTCACAAAGGCAGACTGACACTTTGAAAGGAAAATAAAGCAGGTTTGCTTTGATCTTCCTTACCCCCTTTTGTTAACAGGCTTATAAGAAAAACAGTAAACGCTACCCCAGCAGTGACGTGCCATGAACCAAGAAGTACCAGGTCCCTGCCGTGCCTTTTATAACATTTCTATAAATCTTTGCTGCATGAACACTTCGTGGTGCTAGCAGAGCCCGCTTTCCCATGTCTGCTCTGCCGTTAACAAATCTAAAACCTCCAGGGTTCGGTTATCTGAATGTAAGGTGTGGACACTAAGTCTTCCTGAAAACCCTTTCCTAAACATTATGTATCACTAGCTAAGTTGCAAATATTATAAAAACGCCACATTAAACTTTAACCCAGTAACATATGCTAGAATGCCTTTAGGGCCTCCAGTTCATTATTCTCAGTGATAATACTTTATTAATGTACATTACATGGACTTCTGAATTCCTTGACCAAAGTTAAAATGTGCACAGAAGCTCCTTTCCTCTAATAGCAACATCCTTATTAGTTTAGACATGCAACTTTACAGATTCAAAATGAGGCACAGAAACCAATCACTGGATTCAACAGAAGAATCAGATGCCCAGGGTAGTGTTTCTAAACGTTACCTAATCCACCATTGGTCTGTGAGCAAGTTACATGTTTAATTTTTGAGACGCACAATTAGAAAGATAAGAAATGGGTTCCCTGTCTTGCTTTAGGACTGGTGAAATGTCAAGGATGCGAGATGGGGTGCTTTGGAGGATGACACTGGAGGGCAGGCAGCAGCCAAGTCATATAATTGTTCTGCCACCAAAGACAAGGAGTCATTGAGGGGTGTTGATGACTAAATGTGTGATCCAGACAGGCCAGTCTGGCAGCTGGTGTTGGATGGGTTGGAAGGGAGAAGGAGTGAGACTTAACAAAAACTTGTCACATAATAACTTGGTCCAGGTGGAGAAAAGAGATCTCAACCGGTGGCTGGGGAGACAGAAGGCAAAAGACAGGAAGACAAGAATCATTCATTCACTCATGGCTTTTGTTGTTGTTTTAAACAGGTATTCCCCGGCATGTGGAAGACTTATTTCAGAGGAATGAGCGTGGATACCAAACGCCCTCAATAGTCCAAATAAAAGCTGTGAAGCGAGCAGTGGGAAGGAAAGGAGGTTAATGTTCTTATAAAAGATTCAGATGAGAACGAGGGCTTTATATCTGTAGATAAAACAAAGCTGAGAGATGGCTAGAATCAGGACCAAAATTATCTAACAGACTGAAATAATGGACGATAGCTAAAAAGATTCATTTAGTCGTGATAACTACGAATACCTCTTATTACATTAAAAAGGAACAACTGCACAGGTACAAAGTGAAGACCTACCCAAGCTTTAGCAGATACAAGGAAGGAGGGCCCTCGGACAGTAAGCTCACTACACTTCAGTGTGATGAGGCAGTAAAAATCCTAACAGCATCATGGGCGGTATCAGCAGAGAGCCAGCATGCTGAGTCAGCGGAACAAGCCTTCTTTATTTTTTGGTCCTCACATCACATGGTCTGAGCTAGATATTTCCAATGGGATGATAAATTAGAACATATTCAGAAGAGAACAACCTAGGATTTATCATACAGATCCTAAGCCATAACACAGGAGGATTGTTTGAAAGAAAGTACATTTTCTCTAGAGAAAATAAGACTCTGGAAGAATAAAATAAATGAATTAAAGGTTAACTTTCAGTGTAGTTCAAGAAGAGAGACTGAGGTCCGGTGACTGGAAGTTACCGGAATGTAACGAGCTGTGCTTTCCATCACTGAGGACTGCCGTGCACAAACACTGATCTGGGGCGATGTGTTGGATTAACGCACTGTGTACGGGTTGGATTTTTAGACTCTAGAGTCCCTTCTGATCCTGAGATTCCGTGACCTGGTGAAAATGGAAACTAGAGTTATATCCCCACGGGAAAACAGTCAGGCAGAAAGAAAAAGCCTGAGAGATTCAGATAGCCCTTTTCCTTGCAGTCACT